GGCATGGTCGCGGTCGACGGCGGAAAGAAATACAGGCGAGTTGGCTTTGGTGTGGCTCCAGCCGAGCCGCCTCCACCGCAGGCGAAGGCCATGCACCCGCTGTGCGGAGACCATGCACCCGAGACGGACACGACATTTCGAGCCACGCCTAATTTCTATTCCCTTCGCCCGCGAAACCAAACAAGGGAGAGACTTGATTTAGAAGAGACAAATGATTACGTACGAGTCTAATGACAGAGCAATCGTAAATGACAAAGGTAAAATAAGAAAACAAAACTTAAGAAAGAAGAGAAATATGAGAAAAACAGCGTAGAATAAAGAAGAATAGAAGAGAAATACTGTTAGGAGCCCTCTTTCATTGGCAAGCCTCTCACGTCCTCGAGCCACTGGCCGCTTGTTACTGCTGTCTCCGCCGACACCGCGTACCTGATAGACTCACAGCACAAGCGTTTCTAGACTGTCCTGCACTCCGACGACTGACAACAGGTGTTCGTGTCCTCCTGTCTATATTTCGTTTCCTCATGATTGTTCGTTTATTTAATACACGAAGCAGAGTTTCGAGCAATTAGCTTCGTTGTCACCTACGCCTGCACCCCTCTCGAAACTACCGCACTCATAACGAGACGAACGAAATGGAAATAATACACGGGAAACAAGACGTAGGGAAAATTCAACAAAGAGAAGATTACAATAATAGTAAAAGGGAGAAAAAATAATCTCGAGACACGTGAGGAAATCTGCTTCCAACTCTATGTGTACAATTATTGGGTATGAAGTGGCTGTCTTTTTCATTCAGTAGTTTCGAAAACCCTTTTACATGTAGCGCCAAATGCCTTAGTTGCAGCCCGCTGCCGCGAGGCGTCGCCGAGCGCTAGCGGGATGCCGTGTTGCGCATGCGCGCTCCGCCGCCTCCCCTCCGGCCGCTGCGCGCGGAGGGAGGGCAGAGCCGCGAGGCGCGCTCTGTCGGGCGCAACTGCAGAAGCGCCACGCCGCAGTCGCTACGCACAGCGTCGGCGCCGCCGCCGCCGCATTGAGCGAGACCTTCTACCTCCTCTCAGAGGCCAAGGAGAAGATGCAACGCCGCGAAGCACGTCAGCGACAGCTCGGTTGACGCTTCCGGTGTTTCATAAGTAGAGTTCGGACTCTTATGTTACTACATACTTTTTGTCTTTCTATGTTCAGGTCTTAAAACTATGATCTTGATATTGACAAGTCAGGGCAATCCTAACAGAATATCCAAACTTTTCGTTACTTCCTTTTTATGTACGTTGTACTATATTACACATTTTACGTATTTCGCATATGCTTTCCAATTAAAAAACTTTATTATTCTACCAATTTTCTTGAAATGCATTTCCTCCAAAAATTAATGAATTTTTGAAAATAGTGTTTTTAAATCCTCGTGTTTTATTTTTCACATATTGAGCACTGCGTGCTGACAACGTGAGGTGCCACACGGGGAAAAGCGATGAGATGCTCGCGATCTGGAGTTATCCTCCGTCTGCTCTGCGTATACATCGCGACAAATGCGCGGGAGCAATGATAATATTACATTTGTGGGTGTGTGGAAAGAAACAGAGGCGTCGTGCTTCTTGATCTTCAATGCGATTTCACGAGAGATATTGGTTGTCGCAGACCTGTAGCATTAGCAATGTTTCAGTGATTGTTTGCTTTCATTGTTGCCACGTTTGTACAATGGATATAATTGCTCCAAAAGAGAAATGTCCTCTTAAAAAATTTAATGCAGTACGGAAAGCAATATCACGTTTTTAAAATCGGTTTAATATATATTCTTGTAATTTCAAATTGAGTAGTTTTATGTTCTATAAATAAGAGTGCATTTTGATATTACATGCTATATCTCTTTTCAGATATTTGTTAAACATTCTTATAATTTCCATTACATATTTATGTACATATCTTACACATCTTTACGTTCCTTACTATATCAATGAGTTGGTATTGTATGCCCGGAATTCCTAGTTTTGAGAAAACCAAGTTTAACAGTTTGTAAAGGTGCAGTTTCTTATGGGACGTGTTTGCTTTCGAAAAAAAGGAAAAAAAGAAAAGAAAAAAAAAACATGATCCCTCTTACGTAGACATACAATCTTTGTCCACTAGGTAGATATGAAAGAGGTATCTCCAAAAACGACTAACTCAAAATTAACCGTGAGTGGACATACAATATTTGTACAGTTAGCCGACGATATTTTTCTGGATTCTATACGTAACGGTGTGCGTTAGCTTTTCGAGTTGGGCAACGTATTTTTTTTTTATTGTTATTTTTTTAAACATCAATAATGACAACTGATACTTTCACAAATATCCTGCAAAATGTAGCCAATTTGTTCTCCAAAATAAATATTTTGGTTCAGAGTGAAACTCTTTGTCACATAAGGTGATATAGTTGCACCCTGAAATACAACGAAAGAAGATAGTAAGTTACGCTACACTGCTTTGCAGATGCGTGTTGCGGGTTGCATATCGCAAAATCTGTATCGTGTTTCCAGACTGGCGTATTACCAGCCTGTGCGAGTGGAAGTAGTGCTTCGTTTGTAGCTACACCTCGGCAGTCGCATAGCGGGGATAGGAAATACCTGTGGGTGAATGATGTATTTTGTATGAAAGAGATAATAAAAGATTGATATAATGGGTGGTGGTTGTCTATCATTAGTTTCGACGCACTTTTGATGTCTTGTAAGAAATTCTCATACTAAACTATTTCATAAAATGAGGTAATGTATCGATATAATAGTTCGACTCTCCATAGATATCTGTATGCCCCTTTTCTTTTTTACAGTTAAGGTGCATAAGCGGTTTATTTAATCCGGAACCACCATTCTATTATCACGGATCTTTCAACTATTTCTTTGTTACTTCTGAGACACATCTTGAAGAATTCGCAAGTTTGCGAAAATCTTATTTACGCATTGTCAGTCATATTTTGTCGGAAAGACTTGGGTGTTTCATTAAAAATGTTTCTGGAAGTTTCTGAGGTACCATAATTCCTATGTTCATGTAATTGACTAACAAGAGAATATCTTTGTCGTTAGCTAGAATACCATTTTTCACATAACGTATTTTATGAGGTTATATAAAAACATATGTCTACAATATAATAAAACAAGATTTGAAATTTAAAGGTCAGTAAAAGTTTCCAAAATGAAGCGTGTTTAATGTCTGGGTCGTAACTTTACAATACAACCCTATTAGGAAGTGACTTATCTTTAATTATTCCTGTAATGGTCCAAATTGTAAAAAGTACATTTTTTGTATTAAATATTATTATATTATTGTATTTTAACGTATTGTTTTTGCTTCAGGAATGTCTTCTATATATAACACGTCCCTTTGTTAATTTAAAAACAGTAGGCATTGTTTTCCGAGAAAATATTCCAAAACCGTGACAATAGAATTGGAGCAAACAAGCAACACGGGCAGTGTGGTTAGAGATGAATGAAAGGGCTTGATAACAGATACCCGAAAAACAAAAGGGAGAAGGGGTTCAGCTCTCCACCATGTTTATGGAGACAAAGGCCTGCTTGAACTCGTCTCCGTTTCGCCCCCGGGGTTGCTTATTATATTTTCGCTGTCACTACCCTTCACCAAATGTGCTGTACTCTACAATGTCCTAAAAACACGATTTTAAGTCTTGCATCATTCTACCTCTAACCATCATCTTTCACACTTCTTTCGTCCGTCTTGTTTGGTGTACTTATTACCGATAATAATAATAATAATAATAATAATAATAATAATAATAATAATAATAATAATATGCCTTTATTAATATATGACCGAATCCGGCTAATTTGCGAATTAGACTGTTACAATTAACATTATGCGAAATGGATGTATAAGTCTGAATTACACGCATTTCCAGACTCCTGCATTTAAACGGATGAAGTGCACATTAGTCAACAAAAGGTGGCTGAAGTAGATAAATGAGAAATAGCAGGTTCGTGGTAGACAGCAATCAGATTGCTACGTAGTGGGAAGTTTTCAAGGCGAGAGAGAGGCAACATAAGTAGTTTTGAGTTTAAAGGTGTCTCTTAAATTTATATTTGAATATCATTTAATCGAAATTCTAGATAGCACCAAAGTTTACGCTTCGCTACAAATTTTTGATTTGGAGCGTCGCCTTCGCGGCTTACATAAAATAACTTTGACTGCTATAACTCATATTTTTCTATGTAATTTTATGTAAAAATACTTCTTGGAAACATAGAAGATGCCCCACGCACGGACAATCATCTTTCTTTAGGCCGAGTACTGTGGTTAGTTCGCGAATTAGCAGGATGACGTCTCAAATAATCACTACAACGTCTTTCATGTATTTATTCAAAAAAGTCGGGCCAATACGCAAATTAACCGGCTACTTCAGTACATAGCAATATTTTGGTCTTAAGGAGTAACATATTCACGTCGTTACTAGAATGCTGTACACATTTTCCTCCGGAATAGATTCTTGTTATCGCAGTATAACGTAGAAATACTTCGCATTTTTTCGCCTGTATTCTCCTGAAGAGTATTTCAATGATAATTTCGGTGCTGCTGTGAAAGGATTTCGTAGATACGAAACGGTTTCTTTCGAATCCTGATCAATATACCATGAAGTCTTGTTCACGGTTGTTATGTCTCTTTTTATCAAGAAATTGTATTCAGTCTTTGTTTTCTCTATGAATTTTAATAAGCATATTTATTGATTGAACAAAACTAATTAAAATACATAACAAACACGTTTAATTAACATTACACAGATTGATTTACTTCATACCTATTGTCCTTTCTTATCTTTCTTCTTTTTCGTCATATTGTCATTTCATTTCCCTTATTTACTATCGCGCTTTCTCCGTCTTTCTGCATCTCTCTCCCTCTCCCCTCTCTCTTTCACACCCACTCACACATACATCCACATCACTCAGCATTCCCTTTCGTTCTCTCCTCTGTCGCTGTCCCGCCCTATCGCCTTGCGCCGGCCTCGCCCAGCCTCCTCCCAGCGTTCCGTCGCCGAAACCGTTCTATCTCGCGCAGCCGCTCCATCTTCATCCCCACCGCCCCTCGCGTACTGCCGCGGGCGGCAATAACTCGGCGGATGAATACCTCAGCGGGCGGAGGGCGCCGAGGAGCGGAAGGAAGGCGTAGCCCCGGGATGGGCTACGAGATGGGCGCATGTTGCGGCTCGGGGCAGGGGGTGGAAAAGAGCAACGGCGCGACGGCGGCCATCGCTCGCTTCGCTATTTCTCAACCGTAAGGATGAGGCGGCCTAGATAGCCTCAGCTTTGGTCCTGGAAGTTTTTCAGGTCTTTGACGTTTTTATAAATGATTGGGATAGTACCGAATTTTCATGAAAATAATTTTAATGCACACGCATGGCTAGGAAATAATTTTCTCAGGAGTTTGCGGAGATTTTAGATTTGGAAAGTACAGGAAATTAAGTCATAATCGGAAGAAAATGTAATACATTACAAGTTATTTTTCACGTTGAATGATAAATAACCTAATCGTATACTGGGAGATCCAGATTCGATTCCCGGCTAGAGCAGCCAAAATATAACGTGTAGCCTAACTTTGTGACTCTTAACACGATGAATACAAAGTAATAATATAATTTTTGAGTAAAATATTACTTTCAATAATGCTTTTTGAGTAAAATATGATAATTTCTATATTAATTTAACATAAAACTTTAAGAAATAACTGATCACCCTACTCTTCAACGTTTTGAATTTCAGTTCTTAGTTTTGCTTACAGAGGGATCATCAAACGCTTCGAGAATTGAGTACCTCTGCCGAGAACCATCTCAGGTTTTCCAGTGCAAATGGTCAAATTTCTGGCAACATCGAGGATTTTCACAACGTTGTCTTTGTCATTTTTCCCAATTTTCTTGGCAAATGTTTGAAACTTTCTGCATTGTAACAGAAATTCGAACAAATATAAAGACACAGAATGGGAAAATTTTATTATCTCATTAACCACGTTAAGTCTAAAGACTGGAACATAGTCAAAGTGAAGACATAACACATGCCTTGAATACGCAATGTGCTACAAATTACTCCACTTTATCAGTGTGATAATCATCTCGTAGATGTTCAGGCAATGAACTGCCTGAACGTTTAGGCACCTCCACCAGAGACAAATAGCACCCATAATTTAAAACACATTACTCTCCCCGCCCTCTCCGCTCCTTTCGCTGAATGATCCAAGCGCCAACATTACACATCGCCAAGAAACACGGGCGCGCGCATTTCCATAAAACGGCGCTCCCGCAACCCCTGGAGGACCCCGGAGGCCCCCGACGCCGCCCCCGGAGCCTTCCGGCGCGGGCTTTAATAAAAACTGATATACGGCGCCTATTGGAATACATCGGCAGATACGACCGCCGCCCGTATCGCCGGATTATTGCTTCGTAAATATGAAACGCGCCGCGGGCCGCCATCGTTTTCGACGTGGCCGTCGCCGCGCGCAGATTTACGGCCGGCGCGAACGCCGCCGCCGCCGCCCACCGAGCGCGAATGGCCCCGGACGGTGACATCGTTCCGTGAAGGTAGACATTTGTCAAGAGAATCTGAACATTCGCTTTTTTTTGTTTTTTAAAATATATATTTCTCAATGCTTTATGAAAGGGGTGCCTTAGCCTAAAGTTTTAACACATTTCCCCCCCTTAAATATGTTCAGACATTGAAGCCCACATTTTCACATTTTTAAAGGAACACTTTAGGGAACTGTTATTTGTCATTTGGGGAAGATTCTGTCAAAGTCGTCTGAAAACCGTGTAAATTATTGTAGATAAAATTAATTATATTTAATAGCTGCATTATTTAATTTATATTTCCATAGAATATTTTTTTTCCATTTACTAGTTAAATTTGTCATATTTAAATACAAAAGTTCAATGGTTCGATGCCAAAAATAGATGCCATGCCTTCTTGTTTGAGGCTCTGCACACCTGTGTTTATTAATAACGCTAGCACAATAGAACTATGTAAATGTAGTTAATTTCAAACAACATGAGTACCTACGTTTTTAATTTAATTAGCGAAGTGGAGAGGATATTAAAAAATAAATGGGCCTTGACACGTGACAATGATAATTTTTGAAGATAGAATGTCTCAGAATAAATGTTACAATCTTTTTGGGATTGTAGGGGTCTAAATTGGCTTTTGGAAATTGAACTTCGAATTAAAAATTGGAAATTGAACTTTATGTCTGTGAACGTGTGATAGGAAATCTCATAATGAAATTCCGCATTTATCCTTGTTAAGTAAGCAACTTATCGTGCACTGGTGTTTGGCAAAGTTTTCATATACCTACCCATTTTCAATGCAGAGGAACAGCCTATTATCAAGGGCAAATGCCTCATGCGTAACTTCATTGTATGAGATTTCCCACCATTTAGTCGTGGCCAAAAGTTGATCTCTTCCATTCCTAATATTCCCCATAAGTTTGTTTTCTTTATTCTGAGACATTCTGAATACAGGGAAAAATGTAGACAAATTTGTCTTTTCTCGAGGACAAGGCACAATTTTATATTTGAGGTGCAGAAGAGTCTCTTACCTGGGAGAATATTGTCGAACTTCAGATGAAGTGAAAAAGTAGAAAAACACATTCAAAAATATGTCCCCTTTGGGTTTGAAGCATGAACGAGTCAGTCAATTGGCGATCCAGACACTACGAATTATTTACGCGCATAAATAGAAACGCGCATAAATATTAAATTAAGTTAGAGAGAAAAGTGATCAATACTCACTGCATTCCGCCTCGTCGCTGCCGTCGACACAGTCGATTGTCATATCGCAGCGGTAGTGAGGTGGGATGCAGTACGTCTTGTTCCATACGTACTGATTACACGTCAACTGCCCAGACTCACAGTCGGGCGGTGCTGAAATAACAAATAACAAAAAAATGTTAATGCCCGTTATCTCGTTTCATGGGAATAACTTTACAAACTTAAAAATACACTACATTTTTATTATTTATCATTTGATAAAGAACCTTTTAGTGTGTTTTAATTAGGTCAGAATACTACTACATTTAAGTATGGAATTATACAAATACGCTTAAGTATGGGAGTGGTGGAGAGAATTCTTCCAATTTTTCTGCATCTTTTTAACATTCTGACATCATAATGCATTGGTCGTTAACATTTCTTATGATATACTTGAAAGAATAGTGGCATTTTACGCGTGCAGATAAGATTCAAAGAAGATGAATATTCCCTCCATATAAGAAGAGATCAGCATTCGTTTAGTTAGTAAGTTCCCCACAACAAACCGCATATAATTAATACTCTTGACGTTTAGTGTCAACTTTGAATGTTAAATAACCGACATAGAAAAATAGTATTTATTTGGGTTAAATATTGTCGCAGTTCACTTTGAAGAGAGTTGGGAAGCTTATTTAGACGTATCACAGGGAAAGGCTAAGGTACAGGAAAGTCACAAAGGAAGATACACAAGAGAAATGGTAACACTATTAAAAGTTTACCAAATTTAACGAAAATTGGAACACACATAATTACGCATATAGAAATGACAAAATTATTGCGTGACTAACAAGTCGACGGAAAAGGGAAAAATATTTTATAAGTGCAGATAAAAAGAAACACGTTTCCATAGCAACAACAACAAAAAGGCAGAAATGATCAATGAAAAAGTTTCGGTAATTAAGAATTCGAATTTTAGATACCTAACATTAACCCAGTCGTCGAGAACATTCTAAAGAAATTCGCAATAAAAAAGGCAAGCTTTTGAATGCGATCACAAAGAGATCCCTTTTTAAAAAAAGTCAGAAAGTTATTAATTGAACATCCAGCACAACTGGCAGCCTACTTCACTGGAGAGGGTAAAATGTATCGAGAGACGAGAATTCAATTCTCCGTACCTGAGCCGCCCCTTTGAAGGAGGCCCGCGGCCCCTAACGCGCAGCAAATTCTTCGCCGAGACGCCAATAACTTGGGCGGCGGCGCCAGCGGAGCGTATCGGCGGATCTCGTCGCGCAAGTTTTATGAATTCGTCCGCGCTCCTTCGGGGCCGCGTGGGCGGAGGGGCTCGCGGAGGGGGGGAGAAGAGGCAAAAAAAGCCGGGAGGAGAGAGAGGGGGGGAAGAAGAGTAAGAAGGCGAAGCGGAGGGGGAGGAGGAAATGGGGAAGAGGAAGGAAGAATACGAAGAGGAAGGAAGAATACGAAGAGAAGGAGAAACAGCACGAAATTAAAGAGAAACAGAAGGGAAATTGCTGGAAGAAATTGCAGAGCAATAGGAGGAGTAGGTGCAGTAAATTGTAGATCAATAGGAGGAGTATGTGCAGGAAATTGTAGAGCAACACGAGGAAGAGAAGATGGAGGAAATTGTAGAGCAACACAAGGAGAAAGAGGAGATGGAGGAAATTGCAGAGCAGCAGAAAGAGGAGGACGTAGCGGGGGAAATTGAAGAACAACACAAGAAGGACGAAGAGGAGGTGGCGAAAATTGTAGAGCAACACAAGAAGAATGTGAAGGAAATTGTAGAGAAACATGAGGAGGTGGTGTGAGAAATTTTAAGTGAAACAGGAGAAGGTGAAGGATGATGAAGTCTAAGAGAAACATTAAAAAGAACAGTACGATGAGGAGAGAAACTGGAAGACAAGGAATACAACGAATAACAAAAAAAGAGGTAAAGGAGGGGGGACAGCGAGGTGATTATGAGGTCGATTAGTAGGGATGAGGAAATGCGTTGGAGGAGATGGAGAACACGAAAAACGAGAAGGGGGGAAGGGGGGATGACGGGAGGGAGATTGCGAAGGGCGACGGGCAGCGCCACGCGCGGGATGCGCTCTCCGGTTTCGCCGAACGCTGCCTCTCGCCGTGCGATGGCTCTGAGGCTCTCGTTTCGCCCCCCCCCTCCTGCACCCCCGGGGAGCCGCGCCGCAGGCCCCACCTGGCGAGAGGAGCCAGGTTGCGAGATGCAATCGACCGCCAGTGGATCGGCCGGCGAAACCGGAGACAGCGCTTTGTTTTCGACGCTACTTCGCCTTTCCTTCTCCCGCGCACCTTATCTGCTCTTGGACGGCGCGCTAACTTCGCGCCTGGGCCTGAAAGCCCACTCCCTCCGTGTGGAGGAGGTGGAGCAAAAAAACGGAGATCAGTAGCATGCCTCCTGGAAATTTCGTATTAGTACGTTTCTCGGGGCTGCTTCCATAACTATTTCACAAACATGTATTCTATATTCCGCGGTTAAGACTTACGACTTCAGCTCAAAGCACCGACGAGTGATTAGTTATTTCGTGTTTCCAGTCATTAGTCCAGTAAGATTTGTGAATGTTTTATCTCGCCATAGGACGATATTAGGCGCCGACATACTAGTTGGCTGCGGTGTTTTTATCCATCAAGGTACTTCTCATCAGTGGCTCACCGCCTTTGCCGGGACAAGCCCTAAGCTGTATCTCCCGACGTGTGTGGTAGTGCAGTGCATGCAAACATAAGTGTGTGTAAGATATAGATAGTATATGGGGTGAAGATAGGACCAGTAAGCGAAAGGAAAGATTGTGCGCCGTCCGTTACCCGTTTCCTAAGTGCTCCGGCATTCGCCTAGTGTTGCTCGGAGAAACCAAGCAAAACCATCGATAAGAGCAGTCGGTCGCTTTGGTACAAACACACAACTCATCTTCACTACTATATTAATTTCTCACTCGAGTATATATAAGTCCGGTTTCCTTAACGACTTACCAAAAAACCAGTATTAAATTTTAATTTTTAAATCTTCAACTATATTGTCTTGTTTTTCACCTTTGCTTTTCAGTGTCGCTTTTCGGTCACATTGATGTAAGGTTTAAAATTATCTTATTAGTAATCAACATTCATTTATCGGAAATAACAATTTAGCATATATTTTTTAATGCGTTATAATAAATAAGTGTTGCCCAGTAAATATTTTACCCTCAAAATTTTCTCTTTGTTTCATCACACAAAGACGAACGTCCGACCCTTCAAATGCGAGATACCTTCTAAATTTTTTTCCACCTGTTTTCAGAGGTGCCGAAAATAACTCTATCAAAGAACATGTTCTATTGAGATGCTGCGCGTCAGTTGGCAGCAGTGCTTCCGTCTCATCGCGCAGGTGGCACTCCTCGCGAGGCAAACTCACGTGGACTTCCCTACACAGAAAAAAAAACTCCTTGAGAGAAATCGCGAGAAATAAAAAAAGAGAGAAAAAAACTTTTTAGAAATGAGAATTGTTCGACTGGAGGAATATATTTCAGGAAAGGGCGCGGGGTGGGGGCGGAAGGGCGAAGGGCGCGGCTCCTCGCAAATGGAGCGGCAACTCTCGGGCGAACGGCAAGCAAGCAGCCAGCGATAGGCCCAGCCGTTCCCTTCCTTATTCTGGAGATTGCAATCACTTTACTCGCAGGCTTCCATGTTATTACCAGTTTTTTTATCACTTTTAAATCGCGAACACATTTATTCGTTTGTAGAGAGGTGATGAATGTTTATCGTTTTTTTTCTCTAGACGGTCATGTTTATGTGGTTAACTGAATAATGAACCTTTTGCATTTGCGCATCCATTAACACAATGTTTCTTAACACGAGAATGGTAATGTGATTTTATGCCAAATGCATGTTTTTTTAAAAAACCTTGTAATAGTCATTATATTCGAAAATGTACAACAGGCCAAAGAAAATGTACAACAGGCCAAACAAAATGTAGAACAGGCCAAAGAAACTGTTAACGAGCTCGTCGCCTCAGTAGCTCAGTTAATTACTGCAACTGCTTAATTACTGCAAATTAGGAGATGATATTTTCAGCCAGGATAACTAATTCTTTGAGTATTACTTTTTATGGCAGGTTATACACGTTACAGGACAAAAATGTTGGAGTTTCATTTTTTGTGTTATTTAATATTCACATAACCGAGTGAAATATACATTTTCGAGATATTTTGTTCCTAAGGGCTTCAAAATGTCATTTAAATGTCTAGTCGCGCCAAGTGTTTTGTAGTGTCCTAGTCATTACAAGATACTACTACACTACACTACACTACTACTTAATCATAGGGCTAAACGGCAGAAGAGGCAAAAAAAAAATGTCGAAAAGAAGTAAGATTCAGTGAACAAACAAAAGTGATAATAATACTATGAAATTTCACCACTTCTGTATAATGTGTTTGCCGTGATTTGTTGTTTTTTATAGAATAATTCAATTATTCAAAACTCAATATATGCGTATATTTTGAAAAAAAAATTTCAAAAATAGTATGTTGGGCAACACATTATTAAATGACGTTGAATAATTATAAAAAAAACACTGCGTGATGACAACCATGCTATAAAATGGTGTAAAATTTCGAAGAGCTTCATAAAATAGTTTTAGAGATAAATATTACTTAAACACAAAACACTTTTCATGACAGAGATAGACTGTACAACCTCCCCTTAAAGCAGTATATAGAACTATTCTAAACAGTTTTCAATTTAAGATACAATTCTGCCTCTCTACTAATCATTATATTACTTCACTCATTCTCAACGTTTGGCTCAAAGCCACATACGATACAATTCCTGCACCTACGTAGATCAACTGGCCGACATCACTATCTTCCTCTTGAACACCTTTCAGACCAGAACAATGTAACTGCAAAAATATGCCGACAAAATACTGCTGCCTCCTGCGCAACGCGGTCCGGCGACGGGCTCCTAAAATCCTCCCGCGGAGGCGGCACACAATGCGCGCGCGGCAGACGCCTGCGCGGCGCGGCGCGATTCTCATGCATATGAGCTGCGGAGGCGCCTCGCACGGCTCCCGGCAGAGCGCGCGCCGCTGCCGCCGCCGCTTTCTTTCATTTGTTTCAAGCGCTGTCATGTTTGCGAGATCGCACACGCTTCTCTCTGGGGACGGGTGGCGCTCCGGA